TCTCGCTGGACAACTGTTGATAAAGTGTAAACTATCAAATTTCAAATCAGTTCTAATCAGGTTGACTCCGAATTTTCAGATTCGAGTCCTCTCAAAACCTGTTAATTCCCTAAGAAAAGTAATGAGACATTACAATATCTTAACCATCAGCAAACAACCAGCAACATTCAATCACACATTCTCTTGCTGTTTTTGCCATAACAAACATAGCTAGACAAAACCATTGAAAAGTCAAGAGTCAAATTGCCCAAGCAAAGCAAACACTGATCACTATAATGGTGACATCAAAACAAACTATTACTTTTAAACAGACATCAACATCTAAACCTCTGTTAGTCTCAATAAGACCTTTTGTAAACGTATGACAGAAATAAAGTAAATCTGGTTCATAAGTGAAGCTAGTAATGGTGTTTATGGAGTTATTTAATGAAGTTGGAGCTTCATCAAACAAAGGTTGGGTTTTTACTTTCAACCAAAATTTAACATTGAGCAACATTTGAGTCCACATCCAATGTCCAATGGGAAGCTTCCCACTTAAATCTTTATTAGAATGTTAGGGGATAATGTTCTAATAATGTTATTAATAAACATTTTAGAATGTTTATAGAGAATGGTATCCTACCTTTTAGGAGAATATTCTGGGAACTAAAATAAAACTTGCCGCAGAAAATATTACCAGAACATATATAATGTTCTCGGAACATTCTTAGAACAATAACATTCCTAGCTGGGAGGGTTCTCCACTGAGCCCCTTTTTGCCACATCCTGACAGTCCCATGAGAGCAATGCAAAATGTCCTTTGAAACGTACCTTTTAGCAATGGGTCTTGATGCTGTTCCAATGGAGCAGAAAATGGCCATACTCCTTCACTGTCTCGTTCAGGAGCAGCTGCTATTTGAAGGTGATGATCTGACTTTGGACAAAGCTGTAATTCCGGTCTCTCAAATCAAGTCTGCTACCCAGTGCTCTGCTAAAGTATACACTGCACATGAATCAAGTATAAGCAGTGGATGCACACAGGTTCACGGGGCAGAGGCAGATGTATCTTCAAGTGCAGACATACACTATGTACACCCTCAAGTTCAGCGGCGATGTGGAAATTTTGGCTCCACTAGACACTTATCTCGTGCCCTTGACTGTCCAGCACAGGGACAAACATGTCGACGCTGTCAAAAGCTGGACCACTTTACAAAATGGTGTCGGTATGCTCCAGTTCAAGCTCCTATACAATGAAATCCACATAAAAATCAACAGCCTGAATCTGCAATGCATCATCAATAGGTATCAGCAGAGTAAATTTTAGACTTCTCCTCTTTCAAACTCTCTTTCCTTGTTCAAATTTAGACCTTTTGGTCTTTGAGCTTTTGCTCTGCACCCCTTTGGGCTACCCACCCCTTCATTAGACGAAGTTAATTTGTTATGTCAGGAACACCTTTTGTCTGTTTATAGTGTCTTTGTCTTCCTAAAAGTGTGTGTTACACAGTCCTATTATTGCATGATTTGGATTTGGCTGAATAAACTGTACATTTCATAAAAATAAAAAAAATGAAGGTTGAGCACCTCCTTTTACTGACCCTGCTGAAAAGAAAGGGACATTTTCAAGCATTTAAGACCCTCATTTGTTCCCTGTTGATTGAAAGTGGCAAATATGCGTCTTCTGTTTCTTGTATATATTATATATGTATATATATGTTGTTGGTGTAATGGCAGGTGAGCCGATCTCTGTCAGCGTGGACTCAGAAATGGTCCATCTGGCCCTCTCGCCGGTGTCTCCTGGCTCCACCTATGAGGTCCGTGTGATGTCTGTACTCGGACAAGACGAAAGTGACTCCATCCAGGACACTGTAACCACTTGTAAGTTACCCAACATCTAAACCTCTGTTAGTCTCAATAAGACCTTTTGTAAACGTATGACAGAAATAAAGTAAATCTGGTTCATAAGTGAAGCTAGTAATGGTGTTTATGGAGTTATTTAATGAAGTTGGAGCTTCATCAAACAAAGGTTGGGTTTTTACTTTCAACCAAAATTTAACATTGAGCAACATTTGAGTCCACATCCAATGTCCAATGGGAAGCTTCCCACTTAAATCTTTATTAGAATGTTAGGGGATAATGTTCTAATAATGTTATTAATAAACATTTTAGAATGTTTATAGAGAATGGTATCCTACCTTTTAGGAGAATATTCTGGGAACTAAAATAAAACTTGCCGCAGAAAATATTACCAGAACATATATAATGTTCTCGGAACATTCTTAGAACAATAACATTCCTAGCTGGGAGGGTTCTCCACTGAGCCCCTTTTTGCCACATCCTGACAGTCCCATGAGAGCAATGCAAAATGTCCTTTGAAACGTACCTTTTAGCAATGGGTCTTGATGCTGTTCCAATGGAGCAGAAAATGGCCATACTCCTTCACTGTCTCGTTCAGGAGCAGCTGCTATTTGAAGGTGATGATCTGACTTTGGACAAAGCTGTAATTCCGGTCTCTCAAATCAAGTCTGCTACCCAGTGCTCTGCTAAAGTATACACTGCACATGAATCAAGTATAAGCAGTGGATGCACACAGGTTCACGGGGCAGAGGCAGATGTATCTTCAAGTGCAGACATACACTATGTACACCCTCAAGTTCAGCGGCGATGTGGAAATTTTGGCTCCACTAGACACTTATCTCGTGCCCTTGACTGTCCAGCACAGGGACAAACATGTCGACGCTGTCAAAAGCTGGACCACTTTACAAAATGGTGTCGGTATGCTCCAGTTCAAGCTCCTATACAATGAAATCCACATAAAAATCAACAGCCTGAATCTGCAATGCATCATCAATAGGTATCAGCAGAGTAAATTTTAGACTTCTCCTCTTTCAAACTCTCTTTCCTTGTTCAAATTTAGACCTTTTGGTCTTTGAGCTTTTGCTCTGCACCCCTTTGGGCTACCCACCCCTTCATTAGACGAAGTTAATTTGTTATGTCAGGAACACCTTTTGTCTGTTTATAGTGTCTTTGTCTTCCTAAAAGTGTGTGTTACACAGTCCTATTATTGCATGATTTGGATTTGGCTGAATAAACTGTACATTTCATAAAAATAAAAAAAATGAAGGTTGAGCACCTCCTTTTACTGACCCTGCTGAAAAGAAAGGGACATTTTCAAGCATTTAAGACCCTCATTTGTTCCCTGTTGATTGAAAGTGGCAAATATGCGTCTTCTGTTTCTTGTATATATTATATATGTATATATATGTTGTTGGTGTAATGGCAGGTGAGCCGATCTCTGTCAGCGTGGACTCAGAAATGGTCCATCTGGCCCTCTCGCCAGTGTCTCCTGGCTCCACCTATGAGGTCCGTGTGATGTCTGTACTCGGACAAGACGAAAGTGACTCCATCCAGGACACTGTAACCACTTGTAAGTTACCCATCATTTCTAGAGAGAGTGATATAGGGAACCGGTGGTTAAAGCCCAGTCTGATAGCTAAAGGCTGTGCAGGGCTGATGTAAAGGAGGGCGTGGCAATGGTGTGAAGTTAGCCAATCACAGCAGTGGGCGTTTACTTCAGTTTCTGTAGGAGGAAACTCCTCTTTAAATTGAGTGTTTTTCACAGAGAGTGAAAATGAAAATGAAAAAAAACAAAAAACTTTGCAAAGGTTATACACAATATAAAATACAGAAACTGTGTTTTAGGACCCCTTTAACATTAAAGTTACAAGACATTATAGCTGTTGTGTCTGTAGGACCAAACAGAATTGCAGTTCGTTTATTTGAATGGCATGGCATAACAACACTGGAAGCACAGGTTGGCCTGCTGTACCTGTTTGCCAGTGTCAGAGGCTTTAAAAAGAATGTCTGCAGTCATTTTGATGGATTGTGTGTCTCTCAGTGCCCGACCCACCGACAGACCTGAGGGCCATAAACGTCACAGACAGTAAAGCGCTGCTCCTGTGGAGACCCGCCTTGGCTACCGTCGACCATTATGTCATTGTGTATAGTTCTGACACAGGTGAGCGAAGTCTGCAGCTGTTGCTACCTAATAGAGTTTAAATGGTCCATCTCAAATACTCTTGAGTGTTGTTGTTGTTGTACAGGCAATTTAAGATGGGACATTTGCTCAGTGATACTAAAATGTGATTTATACATTGTCTGAAAAGAAAGGACTGACACACTTTCCGATATTCCTAAAAAATTACACTCCTGTGTTTTTCCTCTCATAAGCACCTGGGCCTGGAATCAGCATCAGAGTGTCTGGCAACGCTGCCGAAGAGCAGCTGCAGGCGCTGCAGTCCTCCACACGGTACAGAGTGAGCGTTCACAGCCAGCTGGGAGATCGGAGCAGCTCCAGAGCCACCACAGCCTTCACTACATCCAGCAGTGAGCATCACCGTCTCCCGTTTGCTCAGCAGTCGTCCGCTCAGGTGCTCCGATATGAGCCAGAGGGGTTAACAACACTAACCTCACTTTTCTGAGCCATGACTGTTAATCAAGTTCAGTGATTTTTAGCAGACGCATGAAGACAGTTCTCAGTTTCCCACAAGTATAGTTCTTCACAATAACTATGAACATGAGAATGTAGATTTTATTTTCATTGAAAACCTCACTTCTTTTGCGAAATGTGGCTTAAAGAGGTCATATGACGATGACGATTAAAAATAACATAATTTTGTGTATTTGGTGTAAATAATGCAATGTGTTTACGTGGTTTAAGGTAAAAAAAAAAAAAAAACATTATTTTCCACATACCATACATTATTGTTTCTCCTCTATGACCCGCCTTTCTGAAACCATAGATTTTTACATAGCTCATCGTTCTGAAAAGCACGGTGTGCTCTGATTGGCCAGATATCCAGTGCGTTGTGATTGGCCGAATACCTCAAGCGTGTGACGGAAATGATACGCCCCTTACCATATTTGGAAACACACAGCGACTCCCCGACAACAATACTACAGCGAGAATAAAAGTTACGCCTTCTTTCTTTGCGTAAATATTTGGGCGGTGTTATGCAAATCTTCCCACACAGTGACGTAGGTATGTGGGGGCGTGTTTAAACGAGGCGTTTTAGGTAGGCGTGGACGAGTCTTAACTTTTATAAAGAATATCTCTTTGGATTTGAGATTTTAGTCCAGATGTCGGGAACCTATGGCTCGCGAGCCACACCTGGCTCTTTGACAAAAATCTCGCCAGATCTCTCACCCTTTACTAACAAATTATCTATTACACAAATTAGACATCACTAGAGATCAGCAATTCCTTTGTTGTAGAGCCTACATAAGCTCTACATATACATGTAAAATAATAATAAATTTTCTGTACCGGCCAAAGTGCGTGTTCAGTGCGCGTTCAGAGCTGTTCGCGAGAGTCACGAGCAAACCATTGATGTTTCAATGGTAACGTACAACTCCTGCACTCAGATTCGTAGCTTTGTGGTAATAGCGAAAAGAAAGATTTCAGGTGACCGGACTGAAACATATACTTTGTTTTATACTTTGAAACATTTCGCCGGTTACTTTCGCTTTCCGCGCAGCTTTCAGCGGGTGGGACTGTTAGCGTTATTAAAGGGGTCATATGATGCCGCTAAAAAGAACATTATTTTGTGCATTTGGTGTAATGAAATGTGTTTATGCGGTTTAATGTTCAAAAAACACATTATTTTCCACATACTGTACATTATTGTTTCTCCTCTATGCCCCGCCTTTCTGAAACGCGTCAATTTTTACTCTTAACTTTTATAAAGAATATCTCTTTGGATTTGAGACTTTAGTCTTTGCAACTTTACAGATCTTCTTTATGCACCAAGAGCTTGTAACACTTCAAAGAGAAAGGAAAAATTGAAATCGCATCATATGACCCCTTTAATAAAGGAATGTGAATGAATGAGACAGTAAAGAGCGAGACATTCTTGATATTAAAAAGACAGACAGTATTAAAAACTCAAAGCCGTGAAACAGAACTCAATCCGCTTCCGCTTCTAATAAATTATGGGTAGGGTTAGGTTTAGGGGTAGGGATTGGGCTAAGTCTATATTTTTGGACAGTTATGCTGATCCAGGATCAACAAAAGATGTTGATCCAGGAACATGTCTTACTTGGCAAAATCACAGCGACCTCGTGCACGACTTCAAAGAGAAAGGAAAAATTGAAATCGCATCATATGACCCCTTTAATAAAGGAATGTGAATGAATGAGACAGTAAAGAGCGAGACATTCTTGATATTAAAAAGACAGACAGTATTAAAAACTCAAAGCCGTGAAACAGAACTCAATCCGCTTCCGCTTCTAATAAATTATGGGTAGGGTTAGGTTTAGGGGTAGGGATTGGGCTAAGTCTATATTTTTGGACAGTTATGCTGATCCAGGATCAACAAAAGATGTTGATCCAGGAACATGTCTTACTTGGCAAAATCACGGCGACCCTATGCACGAACAGCTTGTAACACTCCAAAGAGAAAGGAAAATTTGTAATTGCGTCATATGACCCCTTTAAAAAGCGTGCTTGTGCTATCTTTTGTTTCTTTATTTTAATAGCACCTGTTTAAGGCAGAATTTTTCCTTTGTATGTTTCAGGTAAAAAAGGGGACAGTCTTCGTGATCTCAAAGCCAGTCAGGTTACACCTCGTACCGCGGTTTTGTCTTGGAAAGCACCTGTATCAGCCGTCAACAGTTACAGGCTGAGCTATTACACGGATGGCCAGGACATTCAGGTTAGACTTTGACATCAGCTGAGCGCATGTCTACAGTATTGATATACTGTAGACAGTATACAGTATATCAGCAGCACAGTGTGAGTTATGATAGTTTGTCCCCATGAAACAGCCTCTGTTACCCACCGCTCTCATCACATTGAGCAGTAACTATGTGAACTGACCGTCTGTTATAGTTATAAATATGTGTTTCCTCTACACAGGAAGTGATTATTGACCACACGGTCAAGGAGTTGAAGTTAAGCAGACTGTTCCCATCGTCGACATACACAGCGCACCTGCAGGCCGAGCGGGACGGTCTGTACATGAGCGCCGTCTCTACAGACTTCACTACCGGTACTGATGACCGTCTGTCCTCTGCTGCCTCTGTGTCTGTGTGCAATCATTCAGCAGCTAATCATAACTCTTCCCTAGTGTATTTGTGAGATTAATCTCAAAACACCTGTCAAAAATTACGTCGCATTTCACCATAAAATCAAAAAACCAATGAGAGCTATATTTAGCAAGTAAAACAAGGCCTATTTTAGAACCGTTATGTTTTGTTTTCACATTATATTAACTCACAGTTAAACACATTTCACGCATATTCTCCCCAAATTCTCAGTACAGGACACATTTTGAACAATGATATATTTAGATTTTTTGAAGTAGCATTTATATATTAGTGCTGTCTGTTTAGCATATAGTGTCCTTAACTATTTGCAGAAAAAAAGATCCACGTGATTAGTCATAATAAACAAGTTTTTGTCATTTGGCTTAAAGAGATCAATGGTGAAAGTGTCTGAATAGACACTACAATACTGCTAATTCATACGTCATGATAGTGGCCTATCTAGCACTGCCTTTTGTTTTATGCTGATTTAAATTTAAAAACATTGTTTTTTTTATCATGTTATTGAGAATTTACTGCAAATTATTTTTGTGCATAGTGAGAAGAAATTGTCAGGATGCACTGAAAAAAAAAAAAAA